TTCCAAAAAAATTAGTGTTCTAATAAAAACTTAGGCTAACTAGAACAAGATAGATTTTTGAATTATAGTGCTACAAATCTTACCTCTCTGCTGTGATTCTTTTGGAAGTATGTAACCAGTAACTTGATAACAATTCGCCTGAAAAAATAATTTGACATAAGATCAGAGTTTGAAGTAATATATGGAACATGTAAATAAAAGTCACCGGCCCACCTATCAACGAGATAATCGGAGTCCATTGACATTCTGTTGAGCCTAGTCATGCTCTGCTCAAGAACACGCCTTACTTTTGCATTGTCTTCTTCAACCTTGCTTACTCTGTTTTTCCATTCTGCTGCAATTTTTTCTGCCTGTAACAGCTTCGATGTGACTTCCTCTTTTTCTTTCTTTGATGACTCTAACTGCTCATCAACATCCTTAAGAAACAGAAAATGGCATAAATTGAAATTCATATGACATATCATATAGCTGACAAAGGAAAGGATCAGAGATTTTACTTTCAAACGCGCTAAGAGTTTCCTCGCTTCTTCTTTAGCCACTGCAAGCTCTCGTTCAAAATATTCCTACAACATTTAAGATCAGGAATACATATATGAATCAAGGTTACACCTAAAGATGGGGAAAACTTCAAATTTCTTAATTATTACCAACCTTAGCTTCAATTTCAGCATAGTACTGGCCAAGAGCAGTTTGAAGATTTAGAAGTTCCACATTTTTGGCATCTATTGTTCTCAAACAATTTGCAAGCTTTTGATTCAAGTCTTCAATTATACCCTTTGACTTCCGGATTTCATGCTCGTTGCTCGACCTGATATCCTCCTGATTAGCCATTGCCTGCTTAAGAGCTTTTTCTAAACCTAGTATCTGAGATCTTTGATATTCATTGGTCTGCCGGAGTTCTTCAATCAATCTACTATCTTCATCCATTTTCTCAGACTCCTCGGTTTCCTGTAAAAATTATTCCAAGAAACAAGTTTATTATTCACAGGTACCAGAAAACATTGCCAGAAGTATAATTCATTACACATCTTACGAGTTACAACAATAGGACAATGGATAAACTTTGCAAAATTATTGCAAATTATTTATGTGCAAGTAGGAAAGTAGCTTTAGGATAAATAACCTTTTCTAACAGGTGCTGTTTGAGCCGCTTTAGTTCTTGCCGTGCCTTATCCTTCTCTCTACGTGCTTCCTCCAAATCCTTTTCCAGCCTCTGCAAAGATTTCTCCATATCTTCTTTCCCAGGGAAGCTTCCGGGCTTCTCCTAATTATACATGAGGAAAAGCAGAAGGAACAATAAATGCTTGCTCGGCACTTTAAAATTTTTCGCACAGAAACAAAGTTTATTTTGGTTAAAGGACCAACTGAATAAAAAGTTAGCATTAAAAAACCTTGTCCAAACTACTAGGATGTCTACTAAGAACCTCTGTGCCCTCTGGGAAGAGTTTGCTACTTGTTGACTTCTGGCTTGCTTCTAAAGCAGCCTCCAGTTCACTTCGTTTCAACTACACAACAGAGAAAAATGTAGATCAGTTTCAGAGTCCGAAGCTCGGAGGAAAACCAGAAATGAAAAAAATCATTGTTCAGAAAATAAAAAGTTTGTACGACGCTAAACCTTAAGTTCATTATTTTCCTTCTCGAGAGCTTTGTTAACCTCTTTTAGATTTTCTATGGAAATTCCAATGGCCTTCTGCTCCCGACCATTCAATTTCATCTGCAGTTGATTGATTTCAGCTAATTTTGCATCCAATTCACTACGTACTTTGCTAATCTCCATGAAAGTCTGCATCCAGTTGGAATAAATATCTACTCATTAATGTAAAAAATAGTGATGCCTCAGTAAAGACACAAAATAAGTTCTTACATCAAATACTTACTTTTTCCTTATCTAACCTCAGAGACTGGAGTTCTTCCTTCAAAGAGTCATTTTGTTTCCGCTCATCTGATGAAAGCAAAGTGAGTGAGAGAATACTAGATAAGAAAGATATAAAGAAACAGTCAAGCTACGAATGCTGCTATATACCCTGTAGCGATATCTGCAGATTTACTGATTTTTGTCGCTCTTTCTCAAGCTCTCTAGCCTGAGCAGATGCCATTGACCTGGTTCTCTCTTCAAGCATATCTGCAAACTCCTAAAGACATTCAGATTGTCGTTTAGAGTTCCGCGTTCAGTCAAATGAACACACCAGAGGAATTTATGACACATTCATTACAGAGAATAAGGTCATCTACGTAGTATCAAATTAAAATTCAGAGACATTGTTCTGAAACTCTGATATATCATAATACATGTATCTAACAAACAAAACAATGAAAGCATTTATCTAGGAAAATGGTATATTAAACAATAGAGATACCTTTTCTTTTTTATGTGACTCGGAATCGTTCTCTGTCCCGTTTTGTTTCGAGGCAATGCCATTGTACATATGGTTTCGGCTTTTCCAATTTGTCGGGGATTTTTGTGACCTGTTGGGTGAATGATCACTGTTTCCCTGCAGAAGACTATAAGTTAGAGTAATATTTTGAATCTTAACATCAATATCATGACAAGCATCAGTTGCATCGAATACAATATATCATGCACTACGCGAGAATATGTTTCGCACATTACGACGACATAAGATGTAGCATTCTTCCTGAATAATAAGATTTGCAGGCTAGCAGTAGTGCCATATAGCAGAAGAAACAGTATGCACATAGAAAGTTGACAAACAGTTTACCTTGATAGCATTATTGTTTGATGCTCTAGCCTCTTTAAGAGCGGTATTAGTTGAAGTCAAATTTTGTTTCAATGAGCCATTCTCCTGGTTCAATCTAGAAATCTGATCCTGTAACCATGTGGCTTCTGCGTGAGGAAAGAGCACGAAACCGAGATATAAGCGATATAAAACCATGCACATAGTTTACCTCTTTTTCTTTTAATAGAGCCGCATAATTTACTGACAGAGCTT